TGGAGGTGCCTGCCCGGCTCCCAGGCCCACGCGCTTGGGAAGGGGGGGGAGGAGGGTCTGGGAGAGCCAGGCCGCGGGGGTGAAGGACATGGGGGGAGCCTACCCACGTGGCAGCCTGGAAAACAGGGGTCGGCAGGGTATGTGGGTGCCCCGGCGAGGCAGCCCAGCGAGGCGCTAGCTCTCACAGCCGGCGGCCTCTCTCCGCCCCTCCGGGCAGGTGAATGCCTCCCTAGACTGCGACTCGCCTGGGGCCTGCCCTCAGCTCACGGCCTCCCTCCTGGTGCTGGACGGTGGTCAGCCCCCGATGAGCAGTGAGTGACCACCAGGCTGGGCGGTCGGGACAGGCGTGTTCTGCTCCCTGGTCCTGTTCTCAGGATGGGGTCATCTCTCCTCCCTCAAAACTGTAGGGCTGTTTGTCTCCATTTTGTAAGGGGGAGGCGCATATCTCTCCTCTCTTAGCGCTCCCTCCCACCAGACGCCTCTCTCTCCTTAGACACCCCCCCACCCCCCACCCCCCGCAGGGACAGGTCTCCCCCAGCCCTTCCCAGGCCGGCGCCCTGACTGCTTAATGGCCTCCAGCTGAGGTGCCAGTACTGGTGATGGTGACCCCGGTCAACGAGTTCTCCCCGACCTGTGTCCCCCGAACATTCCGGGTCCGCGAGGATGCAGGGCCCCGCACGCTGCTGGGCTCCGTGGTGGGCACGGACACGGACTACCCGCGCGGCGGCATTGAGTACCACACCCCCGGCGGGCCTGCCACCTTTGCTGTGGACCGGCTCAGCGGTACCTCCGCGCGGGCTGGGGTGCAGGGCGGAGGCAGAGCGGGCTGCAGGCTGAGCACGGTCACCCCTTCCAGGCGAGGTTCGCCTCCTGGGGCCGCTGGACTATGAGCAGCAGAGGCTGCACAGGCTCGCCGTCCTGGTGACCGACCACAGCCAAGGCCCCGGCCCGGCTCAGCCCCGCTCCGGCTCCTGCACCGTGGCCATTGAGGTGGAGGTGAGCGAGCCCCGAGGCCTTGGGGAGAACGAGAGGGTTCGGGTCTCCCTCTGACACCCTGAGTTTTCACTCTGTGCCTCAGTTTCTTCCACTGGTTGGCTGGCGGGGGGTGGAGGGGGACTTGTGGGGAAAGCTTTGTAGCCTGTTGCCTGATACCCAGGCTCTAGCTGTGGCGGGAGGAGGCTGAGGGCGGGCCGGGGGCTCTGGGGAGAGGTGACCTGGCCACCTGCCTGCAGGACGTGAATGACCACGCCCCCGAGTGCGAGCCCCCGTTCCAGGAACTCACCATCCACCCTTCCCCGGGCAGCGGCATGGAGGTGACCAAGCTGTCGTGTCGGGTGCCACAGGAGCCACAGCGCCAGGCCTTCTCCTACAGCCTCGTGGGAGGTGAGGCCCGGGGGCGCCAGGATGTGGGAGAGGAGCAGGCAAGGCCAGCAATGGTCCCCTCCACCTGCCACTGCTTTCAGGGAATAGTCAGGGCCGATTCCGCCTGCAAGGAGCCGCCCTGCTGCATGACGACCTCCTGTTGGGGGCCCCCCCGCCAAAGCAGCCCCAGACCTATGAGCTCTTGATCCGCGTGGCCGATGCAGGTCCCTCCACCCCCCACCTCAGCACCACAGCGACTGTCATTGTGCATCTGGTTCCCTGGAGGGCCAGCACCGTGGCCACCAGGCCAAGCAGAGCCACAGTGAGGGGGCCCCGGGCCCGTGCGGGTGGGAGAGAGGCTCTTGGTGGGTGAGGAGACCCAGTCTTCCGGGCGGAGCCTGGGGGAAGGCATTCCAGAGGGAACCGCTGGTGCACAGAGCAGGACCAGAGAGCAAATCTGGGGTGTGTGTGGGGGGGCCAAGCCTTGAGGGGCTCGAAGGCGGGTGACCAGGGCTTCGGGCAGGACAGGGTGCGGCTGTGCCCCCATTTCAGGTGCCTCCGGCGATGACGCCCCTGCTTGTGACCCGCACGGAGCCTTTCTGGCAGCCGGAGCCCTGGTTTGTGGTGCTGCTGACGGTGACCGGCGCCCTGCTCCTGGCCGTGGGCTGGCTCCTCTGCAGGCATCTCCGGGGGTAGGGTGCTCCCTGCCCCCAACCGCCCCCCCCCCGTCCGTGAATGGACCCCACTTGTGAGAGGCGGCTGCAGCCGAGATGTGATAACAAAGCCCACGGGGATGAGCAGACAGACTGCTAGTCAGGGAGCTGCCCTCCCTCCAGAGGTGGCAGTTAGAGGCACAGAGGCCAGGGAAGGAAGCTGTCGCCATCGCTGGTAGAGCCCAGGCTTGGCACGGGATGGGTGTGGCGGCCCAGGCCTGGCCTCCCGGTGTGTGTGCCTGGGGCACTGGCCCTATTCCTTACCCGGCCTCCACCGGAAACCTCGGAGTTTCTTGTGGGCACAGAGCTGAACCCAGGAGATGGTGGGGCAGCAATGTGGGCACTGCACACAGGCACAGGCTCTCCCCGACACGAAGGGCGCGTGAATGGCGCTGGCGCCTGGAGCCAGCAGGTCTGCCGCCCGCACGCTCGGCCCTTCCTCCTGGCCTTTTCGATGGGCCCAGGGGCTTCGGGCACCGAGCAAACCAGCCCAGGCTCTGCTGTTAAACAGGCCAGCCTGCTCCGCACACCACGGTGCCTGCAAATCCGTCACTTAACCTCGGGCTGAGGCCCAGAGTTCTTACTTTGTCTCCAGGATCCAGGAAACTGTGGGGTCCTCTGAGGGGTTCATGGAGGCGCCAAGGATGGAGACACCTGAGGCACCCGGCAGCATCATGAGACTGGTATGTTGACCCCCGTCCTGTGCAGGGGGGCACCGAGGCTGCTGGGAGCTCCCCCTGCCAACCCTGCCCCTCCCGATAGAGGGCCACCCTGAGGCAGGCTGCAGGCGGGCTCTGACCCGTGGACAGGTCCCACTCATGCGCCCTCGTTTTTCCCACAGCAACATTTTGATGGCAGAGCCCAGGACTCCCGTGAGCCCCCCTCTTCCCAACCCATTCCCCACCCGGACCCACATCCTCTCCTTTCCCCATCTCGGTATCTCCTCCTACCGCCAGGCACCCACCATCTACTCTTTCCCTGAACGGGGTCTGTTCTCATCCCCACTCACCTTTCAGCCAACGTTTGTCAAACACCCGTGGGCCCGGGAAATAGTGGACTCAGAGCTGCTCTGGTTCCTGCCCGTGGGGGCGGGGAGGGGAGGTGGAGAGGCTCCATGGTCACCCATGAACTGTGGCGGAGTAATCTGCCCTGGCTCAGGGGGCCTAGTGTCCAGTGTTGGGGACTCAAGGATGCTTCCTGCGCATTTGAGCTCCACCGCAAAGAATTTTCTGAGAAAGGGGGTGGGGGGGGCAGGTTGGATCCAGCAGAAGGGGGCTTCCCGCCCAGGGTCCTGGGGGAGGGACAGTGCTGCTGGGCCAGCAGTGTCTCCTCTCTGACCGCACCCCCCCCTCAGGGACAGGCCGAGAGTTCCTGTTCAACTCGCGCTCGGGAGCCTGGCGCTGGCTCTGAGGCCACGAAGCTGCCTCACTGCGTGGGAATTTCTTCACGTGACCCTGGGCTGTGTTTTCAAGTTGATTCAATAATAAACAAAATTACAAACAGTGAAGGCCCAGCCTTGTCACCCACCCGTGGGAGGAGCTCTGGGATCTGTGCTTCCTTGTTCTGCCCTGGAGACCGCCCGGCCTCGTGGGAACACAGGGCGTAGGAAGGTGCGTTTGGGGAAGGCGATGTCCAGTGCGCTCATGGCCCCGATTAAGGCTCTGCCGAGCCAGAGTCTGGTCCTGTGGGCGGGGGCTGTTCCCTCCAGGAGAGGAGGACGCTGGGGGCAGCTCGCCTGCTGTGGGGGAGGCTTTCCCGGGAGGGAGCGCAGCTTCCGCACTGACTAGAGACGGTGCCATGGATGGCCGTGCAGGGGTCCCTCTTCTGAGCGGTGGTTCCCATTTCTTCCTGATGTTTCGCCTGGTTCCTTGGCCCTCACCCCTCCCTGTGCTGAGCTGAGCTGCTGCACATGGCCAGGCGGCCTCGCTC